GGGCGTGGTTTCTTTAAGCACGGGGACACGTGATTGCTTTTGACCAAACTATCCCTGATCAGTGCCCACAAGAATGCACATTGTGGATTGATGAGCGGTGCGTTGAGTGGTGCATCAATGCCCTATTGTTGTTTTGCATGTCATGAAGGTAAGCGAAGCTCCAATTCGCCTTTATCGATATGAAAAGCAGGCCAGCTAATTATGACACATGATGCTGAGGTCGGCAAAACATGTTCCTTGTTGCCTACACGCGCACTTTTACAACGAAGGCATAAAGGGTGCAATCTATGAGCGTTCAAATCAACAGCATTCGCTGAAGAAAGACATTCATCCCCGACGTTATTTTGTAGCAGAACATCCGCCTCAGCAGTTGTTGACATATCGCGATAAATTAAACAACAACGATGACCGGAATGGGAGCAGTTCATCTTCCGAGTTCGTGCTGTTCGATAACATCACACCGTTCTCCGGAGAGCACGTTGTTCGGAGAACCATTTTCGAACTTCTCGTGAACCTACGAGAACTGCTCGAGCACATTGCCTGTGCTAAGATGTTCGCGCTCCCAGGACATCGAGTATATATCACATGGCTGTGGCTGCCACCTGCTTCACTGCGCGAAGGGCCGGCGCCGTTAACGCCGGTAAAGCGCCGCCCCCAGCGACATGGCATTGATTTGCATCCTAATGACGCACTGTGCGTCTTAATTGCTTTTCGAGACTTTCATTGCCTTCGTGAATTAGCGGCCCTGCGTACATAGTCGCTATATGCATGAATGCTCGAGCCTTGCGGCATGTTTTCGATGACTTGACCACAGACTTGGTCTTTGGAAGATTACATTTATCATGATTTAGTTGCTCGGCGATAATTAATCAATAAGACATCAGTACATAGTGCACTAGAACATTGGAAAACAATGTCAAAGGCCCAGCCACGTCACTCTCCTGATCTTTCCCACCGGTTCCCGGACCCCCCCCCCCCCCCCCCCCCCATATAGTTCATAGTTAAAGACATGACAGAGAAAAAAGTGAAATTAATCCTAGCCCAAGCGACTCAGTACGGATGCATCAAGTGCCTTAAAAATGATCTAAGCAAATGTCTCGCGACGCGGTACTACGTGGGGCGCTGTACTGGTGGTGCCATCTATGGGCGCCATCTGAAGTACCATACTGCGCATGGAATGCCGACCAACCAATACTGCATGCATGCGGCTTTCGTGCAAGCATGATATATTTATCCCCAGTGGCTGTTCGACTGGGAGGGCACCACCATACCATGGGGAGTAGATCGGACGCAATCCTGAAACGGAGCCAGCCCGCGTTGTCGGGATGGCGGCGGTGCGCGAAGGCTGTGTCGATTACAGCTCCATCGACCAGACACGAGTTATATCGTCCATATGACCCGGACCTCCACGCACTTCATATCCCGATCTCCCATAACGTCGGCTCGCCGGTAAATCGGCCCCCATTCCGCAATCTATATGGTTCAGCTGCGTCCGAAAATTAGAGCCATAAAGTGTCGGAACTTATCAGCGGCGACATACAAGACTATCTCCCAGCCGGGGTAAAGATGAAAGGGACATGCAATTGGGTAACTGCTGTCTCATTTTCTCTGACTGTGTTATGGACAGCCAATGGCGGGCTCCCGATTTCAGCCTCAACGGTAGAGTGCAGATGCCACACTTACTGTAAATTTACGTGCCTTGGCGACGCAAGCGTATGCATAACAGTTCGCAAGGACCGTGCACCATCGCGGCCCGACGAACTTCTGTTAAAAGTGAGCACATGGGTCTGAACCAGTCAGACACATCGGCACCTCTTCAAAAGCAGAAGTTTGCAAACATCCTTGATGCGCGCTCACATGATCGCGCTGGCATTGAACAAGACAAGTTGTAACACAGCGAACATTAACTTTGGCACGTGTTTTCGCAATGCGTCCCAGAGGAGGTGCCAAGCTGTCGCCTCCCAGCGCTCGGCGCAGCAGCCGTGGGGTGCAGCTCGGACAGGCTGCCGGCACATTTGTCGGGCTTGGGCGACGGCGCGCTGGGGGCGGCCGATGGCCGTCGTTATGGTCTGGAACGGGGCCATACGGAGCGTCATTACACAGTCGGTGACCGACCACAGATCGTCCGCACCCTCCTCGCCGAATCCTCCCCGAATATATATATATATATATATATATATATATATATATATATATATATATACACATATACGTATGCTCTTGCACAGCCATATACGCTCTGGATGAAGCCTGACTTACACTTGCTCGTTAATAAGGCCCGAATTTAGATGCGTGGATAGGCCATTTTATTTAGTTTTTCCGAACTTCGTGGGTGATTGAATTTTTGACGAGTGTGGATTCATTCAGCCCGTTTCTGGGATCTCAGAAGGTAACTGATAGCTTGTCTCACGGGCTATCTCAGACAAATGCCGCGCTCTGTTCCAGGAAGATGCGATTTAAACAGCTAAAACTGTGGGCAGACGGCATCAGCAAGCAAGAAGTACCAGGCACGCCAGCTCTGTCAACTCAAAAGGTCATCATAGTTACTGTAGCTTCTAGTGTAACGCACATATTTGGGCACGAGCCAATGTAAGAAAGCCTCATCTTTTGATGCACACCTCTGTTGCGAAACAACTCTGAAAAGCCTACGAAATGAAGAATATCAAAACATTTGTAGCTTCTCATAACGAAATCTGTCAGCTGTAGAAGATGCCAGCTTTGTGCAATGACTCCCACTTATTCAAGCGACAATTATTTAAAAACACGAAGGAGTCTGCCTCCGTAACTGTACGAGTCTCATGCAACTTGCCAGGCCAGTCACCCAATATTTTCGGTTCCCGATCCACCACCCTCATGCTGAGGTCATTCATGTATATCGCCATGTATCACCAGGGCATATCGTTGTAGATGTCCAGCTTTAACACGCGCTGGGATGGGGGATCAACTTGATCCCGAAGGTTTTCACAAACTAAGTTACGAACGGCGGGGCGAAGCTACGCGGAATTTTGCATAGCTATAGTCAGTTTTTAGGAAATCTTTTAGCATAAACACTACATGGACCATGCAAGGTTGCTGACCTACGGAGGGTCAAAGTCTCGCCATGGTCATCACCGAAGGCAATTTCTAGGAAATCGTTCAACGTGATGTGACAACGGAGTGTTACGCGAAACCATACATCTCTGAGATAGCTTTTCAGGCACTTTAATTTAGGATTACAATAAATTTCATTGACCTAGGGCCAGGTATGAAGATCAGATTGGGAGCAAAACCAGCCTGCCTTTTTACTTGAAAGCTTGTTATATGAGGTAGTTTGTGGTGCTCGTTTCGATTTCTTTATAACAGGGACAACAAACTACATCTCACATGAGCTCCTTAAAGATTAGAATAGATAATTGACCTGAAATGACCAGGTCAACACATTTTGGAACATACCACCCAGCGATATCCTTGACGTTTATCTAAATGCAAACACCAAAACGATCTCATAGGATTTTGGTCACCATGACCTTCTTAAGGCCAAAAGGTCATTGACTTAAATGAACAACACCAGCCTCTTCTTAGAACAGGTGTCTAGGTTCAAGGTCTGGGGAGGTCTGGGGACACTGTGAACACCAATTTGGAGTTGGATTTTGTCTGACCTTATTCGACCCGAGTTAAGATTCAGAAGCTTTAAATTTGGACACACGGGGGTTTACGTACAGGCCAACCCACCCTGTGAATTTAGTGTCTCTAGGTCTCTTAGTTCTTAAGATTACATGGGGAGGGGGAATTAACTCCCCACCTGAGCAAAGGGTATTCAGACAGCCACCCTGGCGCGTGTTAAAGTGAGTAATATAGTTCACATCGGCTCACCATGACCAGAATACCCTCCCTTAAACAGCCCAAAATTCTCAGGAGGGTGTGGCAGAATGGTTGGAGAAATTCACGCCGTTTCAAGACTATTTCAAACCGTCCAGAAATAGCCGCCAGTAAGCCCCAGCGAGGTTCTTTCAAGTCCCAATCTTAAATTGGATAGTTTGAACAGGATGGTTGGGAAAAAGACACCAAGTTTCAACACGCTTTTTCAAACGGTTCAGACACAGCAGCTGAAAAGCTCCAGTGAGGAACTTTTCAGACCCAGATCTTAACTAACTTCAACAATTAATCTGTTCTTAGACACCGACACTCCGATTGGCGCGCTATTTTGCGCGGACCACATCGTAGCATTCTCCGCGCAGCTCTCCGCATGGGGAGATGTAACGATATACAGCTGGGAGGTGGTAGGGCCCTCTGCTATGCGCATAAATGTAATTAATTAGCGGCTGGCGCTAGGAATCAGCGATATTAACTGTCAGCTCATTGATACAGATGGCGATATCTATCACCTTTTGTCGTCGGTAGTCGTAAATGATCATAGTGGGCAAGGGGGTGGGCCCGGCTGGTAATGTCAGCAGTATCAAGGCGATGTTAATGTTTGTAGCAGCGCCGTTATCAATGATGCATCTGTAGCAGATAAACCCATCGGAAAGTCGAACTTCGGGTCAAGAGACATGGGGGAGGGGGAGGACGAGACATGGGGGAGGGGGAGGCCCAGACACACCGAGTCTGGGCCTCATAGTGAAGTAGGAGTGGAGTGGAGTCAGAAAACTGTGATGGGAAAATGCGGCTGGACTACAAAAACAGCGTGGCGGCACGAGCCGCGTCGCATGTCGCCGTCAGTGTAAGCTAGTGCCCGGGCAGCATAGTGCACAACGCACAATACCCACAGCTGATGCGTTCCCAGCGCGCGCTAGCTTCGGGTGTCGTCGCGTGGGGGACGTCTGGAACACCGCCCCTGTGATGGGGAGGGGAGGGAGCGCCGGTCCGGTGTCGTCCGGTGCCCGTCGGTCCCACTGTCGGCGTGGCGGGCCGGGCCCGGTCGGGACAGCCGGCCCTCGCCACCCATCGATCCAGCGCGCGCCGAGCTGGCCTGCCAGCGCGTCTGCCGCCGCGTGCCCGGCCGGCAGTCGGTCGAGGCGGCGGGCAGCGGGCGGCCAGCAGCATGGCGGTGCGGCAGTTCCCGCCGATCGTGGACCTGAACGTGGGCGGCGTGTGCTACACCACCTCACTGGCCACACTCACCGCCTGCCCCGGCTCGCTGCTCGGCCAGCTGTTCGCCGGCGACGCGGCCGAGCCGCCGCCGCAGGACTCCAAGGGCCGCTACTTCGTCGACCGCGACGGCGTGCTCTTCCGCTACGTGCTCGACTACCTTCGCAGCCAGAAGGTGATCCTGCCGGAGAATTTCCAGGAGGCCGAGCGGCTGCTGCAGGAGGCCGAGTTCTTCCGGCTGCCGGAGCTGGAGGAGGCGCTCAAGTCGCCGAGCATCGGCCGACTGCGGGTGGGCGGCGAGCGCTCGCCGGGCTGCGTGACCGTCGGCTACCGCGGCACGTTCGCGTTCGGCCGCGACGGCCTGGCCGACGTCAAGTTCCGCAAGCTGGCGCGCATCCTGGTGTCGGGCCGCGTCACGCTCTGTCGCGAGGCGTTCGGCGAGACGCTCAACGAGTCACGTGACCCGGACCGGGGTCACGTGGACCGCTACACCAGCCGCTTCTTTCTCAAGCACTCTTTCCTCGAGCAGGCGTTCGACATGCTGTACGACGCCGGCTTCCGCCTGGTGGCCAGCTGCGGCTCCAGCACGGCCGGCATCCCGGGGGTCTCGGAGAAGCCCGGCTCCGACTCGGAGGAGAACCGCTGGAATCACTACAATGAGTTCGTCTTCGTACGCGACTGAGGCCGGCGGGCGACGCGCCGCGGTGCCAAGGGCGGGGTGGCTGGGCGTGTTTAGGCGGCAAGTTCCAGGTGAGAGGAGACTCGCAGGAGGCGAGACAGAGTCCGGCATTGGTGCTCTGTAGAGACAGTCGGCGAGATCCAAAAGTTTTGACCATGACCCTCATGGATTGTGCCGTCGCTTGGGCCGCGTGATGTCCATTTTGGTGTGTGGGCGACAGCACCCAGGTCGGCGCGAAATGGATGAACCATTCAACGGCATTCGCGGCATCTCCAGCCCTCGACAAGCAGGACCTTGACGCCGTCAACGTTGCAGCCTTGGCAAAAGCCAGTTATAATTAATTGTTTCTGTTGTAACGTTGCAATGTCTTCTAGAAGCATTGGCGCGGGTGCCCACATTGCGGTCGTCGCAGTTCCGCACGGCGCCTCATTACCAGTCCGCGCTCGCAGTCCGGCCGAATGCCCGCTGGTGTCGCGCCAAATTAACTTCGAATGACATTGGTAATGAAAACACACATGCCAGCGGAGCACGACGAGTGAAATGACCTAATGCTGCCAGACTATCCTCGAACCATCCCGACCACGCCGTGAATGAGCCCGTAAAGGCGGCGGATGGGCGGGTCTGTCCGGCGGCGCGTCTCAAGCAGTCCCGGTACCCGACCCTCTTGTTGTGGACCGGTCGGTCATTTCGTCACCCAGTCTCGGGGAGATAAGGTGGGTACGGCAGTAATTAATGCTCTTCAGAGAGGCTTCTGGACGACCGTACCACTTGGAGTCACGGCACAGCGATGGTACAGGAGTGAAACAGACGGCTAAGGCATTTTGTGTTTCTCCGCTATGATTTTCAGACTTTTATTTCCCATCTGAGAAAAACCAAGTATGTCAAACACCACCGGCTTCTGTAAGTCCAGACCTCATTGATTGCCACCGATCATTCGCCTAGGAGACAATGACAGCAGGTTTGAACCATCCAAACAACCAGCTGAATGACTCGAACGATCGAAGAGACAGCCCATTTCATTGAAATGCCAACTGTACTAAAAGTGATCCAAATGCTATGCTGGACTCTTGATCTCGGGCAGTGCCAAGAACTGTCTGAATGTCAACGAACATGAGGAAATGAATGCTGATCAGCAAGAACAACCGATGGCCAGGTATTGTACGTTCATTACTTCTGCCAAGTTCAGCTGGGACATTCTGTTCTGTTCAGTGCAGCGCGGACACAAAATCTGCAACCAATGGACATCAAATCACCTCTGGCTTTGGACATTCATGTGTTAACTACCGCGTATCATGCGGGCTACCACTCCCACATGTTTTAAAACGACGTGGAAGGCTGATGCAGATGGCTACGATAGCCCTCTGGTGGGTAACAGCACAGTAGCGTTCTTCACGTAGTGTTACGCATATTCTTTCGGGGCTGATCGGTTGTGATCTTCTCAAGACACCAGTGCAATATGTGCGGGCTGCGATGTGAATAGACAAACAAGCTGCATGAGTGACTAGGGTTTTCGACAATGATTGTGTCGAACTGTGTCTGCTAAAAGGTCGCCCGAGCCCGGTGTAAAAAGTCAGGGTACTGCTCGTGTGCTGTTGACTCTGATCGGAGACGATGCGAAAACAATCGGAGCACCGAGTGCGCTCCTGCTGATTCACCAATCAGCGTGAATCATTCTTCTAGTCGTTACCTATGTTTGTGCTGTTAATACATACCTATAAGAACATGTGCGTCTCTTGTCTTCTCACAGAACCAAGGCCTATGATCTGTGATTACTGAGGAGGCGACCACATCGTTAAGAGCACATGAAATTGAACTTTTATCTCAAAGGACTGACCTTGCGTGCAAGAGCCCTGGTTTTGCATTGGGTCCATCTGAACGGTGCACTAGCCCTTTCACGCAAGTATCATTTAGCATAGACCTGATGTGATGCCAAATACGAAATGCTCAAAGAAAATGTGATGAGCGGGAAAAGAATCATGATTGTCGCAAGAGGTATAAAAATAGCCGCTGCTTCTTAATCCCGAGACGCTCTTGTTTTGTTATCTTACACTTGTTTGTCATTGCACGTTTTCGGTACTTGGTGATTTGGTCCAATGGGACCAAATACGCAAACCCAAAATGGAGAACTAGTACATGGTGGCGAAACAACAACACTTCCTGAGTAAACTGTACCGGTAAAGTCAATACGTCAGACTTAAAACACAAGTTTCGCCCTGTTTATCATATTTGACCTAAAGTTCAGAATCTGGCGCCTGTTCAGTGCGGTGAGACCCAGTTATGTAACATTCCAACAAATGCTAGCGTGGAAATGACTCCTAAGATTAGGTGCAGCAGTCCTCTCCATCACCTAAATGCACGGTGCATTTCCTCGCGGACTTCCGAGCGGTCGCGGGTCGCTTCGGAGATCCCAGCTGCCCATGACGACGGCATCTTGACCAATGCCGTTGCCACCGAGCACTCTGCACTGCACTGGGTATTTGGGAGCACGGTATATGGGAGCACAAGCACTGCTTGGCAACTGGGTATTTTGTAGGGATGCTTCATCGGGACGAACATGCTTCCGAGTAGAGGCCTGACGTCACATCCCAGCCGCATAATTCGAGCCCGACAGCCGCGCGCCTCACGCCTCCCGCCCGGCTCGCTGTGGTGAGCGCAATGCCGTGCCCAACGCTGGTATATGACAAAGCCGTCTGAATTGGGCCATTCAAATGCAAACGTTGAAAATACGGTAATTTCAACGAACAGTGGTGCGTGTGCCACCACCCTGCTGCACTGCATTCTCCATCCCTGTCCGCGCTAGCCTGGCGATGGTTATTCGAAAAGCAACACAAATCGTTGGCCAGCCGTCAGGACAGTGCTGGGAGGACGCGGTGGAGCTGACGGTGGCCACTGCTCCAGTCCAGGGGCACCGGTTCGGACGCCGGCTCGTCCCCGTCTTCTCTAGAGCTCACCGGTCCACCAACAGTCGTCGGGCGCGGCAGGCTCGACCCGCGGGAAAGCGCTACGTGCAGTCTCAGGGGTCGTTGCTGTGCTCCGGCCGGGCTGACCGCGAGGGTGCAGGTACTCGTTGCCATACTCGGCAACGCTTTACGATGCTGCAACCATTGCGATCGTGGGAACGGCACGTTTGCACCCGGCCAGGAACGTAACTAAACGGGACGGGCTAACCGAGCAACAAAGCGCTGTAGGCTGGGTGTAAAAGATACGGGATCTGACACGACGGGCGACCGAAGTTGTGGGAAGACGACTGAGGCGAGGAGACGATCAGTGAAGACGACTGACTTGAAGAGACGGATTCGAGAAGCCGTGGGACGCACGGAAGCGACAGATGCGAGAAGACGATGGACTCTGGAAGACGACAGTTAGATGACTAGAAGAAGGCAGTTAGAATACAACTGATTCGAAAAGGCGGCAGACTCGAGAAGATCGCTGATGACTGAGGACAGCTGTTAAACAGAACGACTGAGTCGAGAGGAGGGTTTGCAGTGACAAGGAGACGTATGAACAAGGAGACAGAAGGCAGGTTAGGCAGGTCAGGCAATACCCCAACTTTGTGAATGATTCATGTAATAGCACTACAGCGTTGCGTGGAAACAAGGAATAAAGAACCGTCTCTTCCCCAGCCTCCCCCTCCCCCATCTTCTTGGAAGTGCATTCGTTCCTGCTGGCTGGTGGGGATGGGACGAAAGAGAGCGGAGGTAAATGGACAATAATTTGGTCACGATACTACCACAGGGAAGGAACGCTCACAGATGGCACGCCGGCTAGAAAGGTCGGCTCGCGTGGTCATGCATAACGATCGACACGCAAACAATACTGACCCGGGAGCGACACCTATATGAGAACAGCGCTACCACAGCACTGACAACCGAAAGCGGTCCGCGGTTGAGAGCGTACTGACACAGGTGGAGAGTGACACAGGGTGACAGTGACACGGGCGGGAGTGTTCATGTTCATGTTCATGTTCATGTATTTCGTGACTTTCCACAAGATCCAATGGCTTTTTTTAAAGTTACACGTCATCATTGATAAAAAGGGACATAAAAGAGACAATGTGAAACCTCAGTGACACAGAAAAGACTAAAAGATTAAGTGGCACACGAAACCGGTTGAAGCCGACGGAAGACAGCCTGACTCATACGGCAAGGCAGCTGACGCAGACAGAACGCCACACGGAAGGCTTACTACCCCACTGGTCAGGCCTGACGCAGAGGGCAGAGGGACAAGGCTGCCCGGACGGCAGTGCGCGGGCCCCCAGCGTCTCGTCGGCCGCTATCGTGCCGCAGCGACGATCGTCAGAGCCATCAGGCTCGCGGCTCTCATGCACCAACGTGCACCTACGGGCGTCTGACGACCGACAGCGGCTGATGAGGCTTGTCCGGCACGTGCCAGTGGGTCCGCGGGCCACCCGGGGCCACCGAGCACGGCGCTTGATGCCGCAGGCCGACTGGGGCGTTTCTTGTCGGCGTCGGCTTCTGGTGTACGCCGAGTCGACGTGAGATAGACCGGTCGGCTCCGCGGCACCAAGCGACGACGACGCCGCTGTACGACTGCAATTTTTGTGAGGTTAAACTGCGTGCGGTTCATCCGAGCCGCCCGGAAGTCACATTCAGTGCAATGACGGGGTAGGTGTTGACTGCACTTCGTGATTGGCCGGGCAGAGATTGCTGCGTCGCACGACAACGGAAGCTGCCCGGCTTCCCTGTTGCCGCCCGGCCTTCAGCGCAGCGTGGCTATACGTCGCGTCCGACTGCGTCGGCGATTGGGCGTCGCGCGGCGCCGGAGGCCTCCGACGGCCGCGGCCCAGTCGGCACCGGCAGCCGACGCTCGCCCGCTGCCCGAGCAGCAATACGGCGGAGTCATCGGCCGAGGCATCGCACGGGGTCGTTAGCGGCTCCGGCGGCCGTGCCGCGGCGGGAAAATCGCCCTTAGAGTGGCGACCGACTCGCCTGGTCAGCGGCGACCGGCGACGTTTTGGCCAGGCGCTGGCGACGGCAGCAGGGAACGCTAGTCCCAAGGACGGCAGAGATGACGTCACAGACCGCCCTGGGAACAGCCAACTTGACATCACGGACCGCCTAGGGAAGGCCGAACTGACGCCACGGACCGCTCTGGAGACGGCCGAACTGACACCGCGGACCGCTCTGGAGACGGCCGAGCTGACGTCACGTAGCGCTCTGGAGACGGCCGAACTGACACCGCGGACCGCCCTGGAGACGGCCGGGCTGACGTCACGGACCGCCCTGGAGACGGCCGAACTGACGCCACGGACCGCTCTGGAGACGGCCGAACTGACACCGCGGACCGCTCTGGAGACGGCCGAGCTGACGTCACGGACCGCCCTGGAGACGGCCGAACTGACGCCACGGACCGCTCTGGAGACGGCCGAACTGACACCGCGGACCGCTCTGGAGACGGCCGAACTGACGCCACGGACCGCTCTGGAGACGGCCGAACTGACGCCATGGACCGCTCTGGAGCTGGTCGTTGAGCAGCGCTGGGACAATGCGGCACGTTCCACCGCTGATAGTGACGCCCGCTGGGCTTCCGCTGCGGGCATTGTGCGTGCGCGCGGAGGGGAGCGACGCTTATATACAACGCACGGCGTTAATCATGGTTCGGAGCATACAGCTGCGGAACAGTTGGAAGCTCTCCCACCGAGGGTCTATACCTTGACGCCGTGTGCTGCAAGGGTGGCGCGTCCGTTCCATTAATAGCAGGCCTGTAATAGACACCCGCAGACAGAGCGTGTGTGTGATGTGTAAGCTTTTTAGTTTCCACAATCATGTCACAGTTATTGCGGACGGGGCCACAAACCAGTCCAGTCTTGCTTGAAGAGCGATTCAGTGTTACTTCTTAAAGTCTTGAGCTCAAGTGGTACAGCCTCGTCCGGTTCGGTCGCCATGTTCATACTACAATAAACAGGCGAAGAAAGCAGAGTCAACATAAAATTGTTTTCAGGCAAGTGTGACCCACTTCCTTGCACTCCTATGCCGCAATGAGAAGAGTTCATTCATCGACGCTTTGAATGATGTATCATCACAATGGTACGGCTTACTGAAGTGATGGGTGGTTAATATTTGTATTGCATGTCTCCTGGATATTCAAATCATTACACTTTCCACTACACCCAACTGCAGCCCTCATTGCAATGTTGGTTAATGTAAATGATCTTTAACCGTACTCGTTATTAGGTAGCTCAACCAACCGAGCACTGGCATACGTCATTGCTGGTTACCTCAGTTGGCGGATCGCTGGACTCGCAATCAAAGAGACCCTGGTTCGAATACCAGAAATTCCAAGGACATGGTGCGGTTGTGATGCATGCTTCGGTGATAGCCAGTCATCATCCAGTCCTTCTCAGGACTCCATATCACCTGCTGACATCCGGAGAATCAAGTGGTCGAAGCCCTACGTACGTTCTCACACACCCGGCGGCGCAGATGGTCCGGACGATGATTCCACCCAGTGGACCATGTGTTGGCAAGGGGCCCGAGTCGGTCAGAGACAGCGTTCGAGGGGCCCGAAAAGCCCCTTGCTGCAGCGACAGGGCCAATACCAGAGCGTGGTGATGCGAGCGGCGCGAGGGGGGGGGGGGGGCGGGGCCACCAATTAGTGTCGCCTTGTGTCCCACATCGGGCGAACAGCGGCCAATATCGTTCTTGCCTCAGGCGACGTCCGAACGCCGGCCGGTCAGCCCGGGCGGCGAGCAGACTTGGCAGG